CATGGTTTGGTGCTCTTCGACATGCGCAAGAGAGCAAAGCGCCGACACTAGTGCATCTTCACTCACTGTTATTGCAGTAGGATCCAACACAAATATACAGTATTTTCAATATGCTTAACCTACATAGTAATAATAATAATAATTAAAAATGAATAGAAAATTTAAACCAATTAAAAATATTTAGTCCCTGAGACAGTGTAACTTTATTGCTGGCATTTAAAGGCTGTATTGCGATACTTATTCGTTGAGCAAGAAAAGCACCAGCTCTGGGGTCACCGATACTAACTACCAGGCGCCAACTTAAATCATTAATTTGCGCCTGTGCATCTGAACCCCATGGCCCAAGAGTCTCTACACTTATATGTTCAAAGTTCTGAAATCTTAAATACGCAAAGAAAATATAATCCCACTTAATCACTTTAACCGGATATAAAACAATGATAAAAACGGATATACAACATATATACATATATACATTTTACATATATGTATAATTGTATGTGTTGTATAAATGTATATAGTGTTAATGATTTATATAAAATATAACAATGTTTAATAAACGCTTTGTTAAACCAACAACTTTAAAAAAAAATCTACTGTATTTTGATCAGATAATACTGTTATAAACTGGGAACACTTTCGCGAGCAGACACTAGCCGGCGAACAAGCGGGCACCGGCAGTCACCTGCCAGATACCGAACAGCGCGCGCGCAACGACAATCGATTCGCGACAATCGAACGAGATCGTTAAATCGATTTTAATAATAAATCGGAATCGTGTGGTCTGTGATGTGATTCGATACGCGTTAAGCTTTTGTTTTACTAAGTTTAATGAAGTTTAGGTTGTGTAGGGTTGTGTATTCCTCTGGCTCTATCCTTAACAATACTCGTTTAAGTCGTAATTTTCGTAATTATTTTTGATAGTAACTGTATTTTTTTGGTTTAATATTTACTGGTTTCTGGGTGTCCATTGAATACAAGTTATCCTTCGGAGTTTGGTACGATATGGTTCGAGTCCTTTGTTTCAAAAATATCGTTTATTTATTCAAATTCAAATTCAAAAATCATTTATTCACGTAGGTAACACAAAGTACACTTGTGATTCGTCATTAAAGAAATAAATATTAATGCTTCTAATTTTACATTTACTGCCAGTATTGGTCTGAGTTTTAGTATAAATAATAGTTTGTATAGATAGTTTTAATATACATTAGTATTACTTAATTCTAGCAAAAACTTAAAATTTTAATATTCTCCATTAAAGTCATAATTCAAGGTTACAACGTGAGCCTGTTAAGTATGTATAAATACGAAATTATGTACATAAACAAACGTAGTACGCCAGTGTTTTGTTTGGATTTTGTTTATCCATAGTCAAGATTGAATAACATTATTATTATAAACAATTAAAATTTCGTGGTACGGGTTTAATTCGTGATGAAACAATAAGTAATTGTTTCGGATTAATAGACACAGTACGTTGATCAAACTGCCAGAATTTTTATCCAACATGTAATAAAACGGACGGGTTTCCTGAGGGAAATAAGGAATTGACAGTTTTTGTTTAAATAATACTGCAATATCTTTACTAAACTTATATGAAAGTTTTTTATGATTCTTTCTTGTTTATTCAAAATTGTCACACATTTTCATATTTGGTCAACGAAGGCCCCCGTGGGTGTATATGTGTCCCCCGCAAAAAATACTTACGCAACCCACCTGTTTAATTGTCGCCATGATGTATTGTATAAATAATTTAATAGATCGTAATTTTTACAGCCCACGTCGATTTTGTAACTTATTGTGCATTGTTGGTTTTTGACTTAGAGCTGCTCTGACGGAAACGGAAATTCGACAAAGTATAAACTAATTGTTGAATTACATCGTAGGCTGTTTTAGACAAGCTCTAATTGTGAATTTAGTTGCCAATATTTTTTTTTCTATAAACCAAATTAACCAACCATTTCAAATTGTAGTTTTGTTGATCAAAATTCAAAAATCATTTAATCATGGCGCGTCTAAACGGGCCATGTTTTGCTGCAATTGATGGCTGCACTGTTGGCCACTAATTGCCCGGCCATTACAAAAATATTTTAATGCAGCTGATGGCCGAACAATCTATGGCTGGGCAATGTGTTGCAATATGTCTGCAATAGTATGGCCCATGATGCAGACTCCTAAACGGGCTACACAAACCGGCAACAATGACTGACGAAATCACACTTGTCGCAGCAGCTTATATTGTTTTAAAAAAGAAACAGAAAAAGAAGAGATTGTGGATTCGACCTTACTTAAATAAGCGTGAAGCTGTAGACAATTTGAGTCTAGAAATATACCTTGATAATAAATTATTCAAGAACTTTACTAAAATGTCAAAAGCAGTCATTTTTAAGTAGTAACCTAACGTCAAAATGCAGCTGATCGCAAAACACAGAATATAGCAACAGGCACACTTCACTCATAGCAAACTTCATGTCGCGTAGAAAAGGATACACTGTGCCATAACAAAGAGAGTGACTGAAACAACAATAGAACTGGCTGTGCAATATTGCAGTTGAATTCGATAGCCTAGCGATCGTCCGGCCACCCATCGGGGCAACATCGGCCATATGTGGCTATACAAAACATGTTTGGCTATATGGCCGGGACATTACTGCAATATTGCATAGTGTGGCTGCTATTGTTTGCAATGTTACCGGGCCACAGTGTTGCAGCCATTAATTGCAGCAAAACATGGCCCGTTTAGAAGCGCCAGTAAAGAGATACATATTAATGCTTCTAATTTTACATTTAGTGCCAGTTCTCAAATCAAGGGCGTAGAACGGAAGAGAAGAACTGGCAATAAGCTCTCCTCCACTCTTTTTAATCGCCATTTTTTTTTTACACAACGTTTGTAAGGAGCTGCAACCATTAAACCATGTTCCACATGACATCTTAAGTAATTAATAATAATAACATAAATTAAAAATAAAGATTTGTCCTCTATCTGCAGGAGGCATGGTCAATAGGAGCACGCACTTACAATTTCGGGTCTCGTTGTCTATATTTCGTTAAATTTCCGTTTTCGTCAGCGCAGCGCTAAGTCAAAAAACTATCAAAATTGGACCATAATTTGGTTAGAAATAAGACATGGGCTGTAAAAATTATGGTGCCTTAAAATGTTGTACAGTGATAGTTTGATGTGAATTGTAAAATCTTACAAAATTGTATCGGAAACAATAAATGTATTGTTGTATGCGAATAAGGTCGAGGCGGTGTGTGCACGCGCAATTAGCATCCTTTGCACCGTGACATTTGTACGTGTAACAAGTTATGTCTGGGAATTGAAATTTTAATTTAGAAGGGTTTTTCATCGTATTCATATATCTCAAGTAAACCCCTTACTAATCGCCCATGGACACTCAATTCCAGAGGGCTCGTGAGTTTGCCTTTTAAGAATTAGTACGCTCTTTGTCGTTAAAAACTTCAATGTTTTGACTTGATTAAATTTACAATAGCCTTTATCCAAAACTTAATTATGAACATTGTAGTTTCATTTATATGGATCCTAAAAAAAATACTTTTATCAGTAGGCAAAATACACTTTAACGAGTAGGAATCATCATTTGCTTGTGAGGTGTAGGTTTGTCCACCGTTGGACATGGGCCTCATCCATCCGGTTCCCCTCGTATGACTTAGGCCTGGCGCGGCCAATAAATATAAATATATAAAAAAAATAAGAGCCTTGATTATGGTGCTTACCATAAACAGGAGACCCTCCCTAGTTTACTCAAATGTTTGGAAGTCACGAACGTTTCAAAGACAATTTTCAGTTTTAAAATATAGCAAAGTTCATACACATACGCTCTTTCGATAAATGAATTCTTGAAGACGTTAAAGTTAATCCAAACGGAAATCCATTGAAACGTCTTGGATCTAGCAGTTACGAGGTTTCGCATTACCAAACGTAATTAATTTATAGTTTATCCTTCCTTACCGATTACCATTATCCCTAATAAGGCTTCTAAGGAGTGATATCGCACGATGAACTTTGATTGGATTGAACAATATCCTTTGTAGATCGATGTATGATTATATGGTTTAAACTCTTTATACTCTCAAGTATTATTTTAAATAGTAGCGTGTTTAATAAAATACTGCTTAATTTTTCTTTAAGCCAAAAATCTAATTCAATAATGATGTACATCTCTAAGTTATGGATTGGAAACGTGTAACCAAATTGTCAAATCATTCCCTAGTCCAGTGATAAAAGATAAGTCAAAACATTTTTGTTTCAATACCAAATAGTTTATGTATGAAGTATCAATAACAAGTGAATTACATCACCTCATTTTAATTCAAGTTGTGCTTAATTTTACATAACTTACGTCAGTCTAGGTCAAGGTACACTTGTACGTATGTGTCACTGTTTGGTTAAATTCGGCAGATATATTGCGCCTGCGAAACTACACCAATTTTAAAAGTCCAGAAATATCTTGTTATTATATATTTAAACGTCTGAAACAATTAATTTGTTAATTTCGATTTTTATTTATTAATGATTAATCGAAAACTTGGTACGTCCCAACTCTGAATTACCCTAGGTAACAATATACAGCGCAAATAGGCGCCGATATTTATTCATACTTAGGATATAGCCGTCCAACGCGTTTCCTTGACGCAGTCACTCCGGAAGGGCCGAACCATATTCGTACATCTTCCCAAATACGGCTCGGTGACTATAATCCGTTCAAGCCTTGAGTACATACGCAGACGTTCACTTTCTTTACCAGTTTAGCTTTTTCTTGATAATATGATACTTAATGAATCGGGTTGCAGTTCTAACGAGCTTTGAGAGAAATAAAATCAATTTCTTTAAAATCACTTATCTCGTCCATTGAGATCACCAGTTTTTTCACACAGTTGTGTCGTAGTGGAACGCGTATCGAATCAATAATAAGGAGATAATGCCATTATAGTGTGGAGTATGTGCCGGCCTATGAAGGCCTGACGAATCGAGAATGTCCATGTATAGATTTGTGAAAGAAGGCAGCAGTAAGCGCCTCTTCGTTCAAGGAACCCTCGAAGGGGACGAGAAGCCGTTAAAGTCCAGTTTAAAGAAACCACAATCAGAAGTCGGTTCACCTATAACAACAAGTTTGAACTTGCCATCTGTTCCGAGAAGTCTTCGAGAGAGTTTGACGAGACACGAGACCGTGTATGACGGGAATTACCCAGGCGTAGAACGTTACCGTTCAGGGTCATACAATGGCAGGATCGTCCACGAGGGAAACCAGACGCACTTCGAATATGATGGTGAAAGCGCGCTCGCGGTGCCCACTTCAGCGGGTGGAAGGGGTATATCGGAAATGCAGGCGATTCACACGAACAAACGTTTGTCGACCGAGGTCCTAGGCTCCTCGCTGGAGTCTACGAAGATCTCGAAGAAAGATGACAGTGGGCAGAGGAGGATTACGACGAGGATTGTCAGGAAGGTGACGACGCTGACGAGGGGAGAAGAAAAATCATCGATGGAGGACTTACGAGGAAGGGAAGTGCGACGGTCTTCGGAGCAGTACAGACATTACGAAGTAGAGTCAACGCCACCTAGACGAACAAAGGTATTTCATGCTATGTGGTTGTGTGGTTAGGAAATAAGGAATCTGTGTTAAAATCTTGTTTTCACGCAACTTGCACGCTAATTAGTTGAAGTGATGAAAGAGTTATTTGAGTCTGTTTTTGCATCTTAATAGAACAAATGAAGAAGAGTGAGAATATTCCTATTTAAAATTTAAAGTACTAAAACAATACAATTATTACATAACATAACATAACATTAATTTCTAATAAACACACAAAATAATAATAATAATAATCAAAAAAGAAAACTTACAAAAAATTATGAAAGGAATAAGGTACATTTTAAGTGTGTAATGTGTGTGTGTTGTGGTTGTAACTGGTTTAGCATTATGCTGTGGAGCAGACGTGTTCCGCTGGTTATTCTGCCAGAGACCACAACAGTTAGTTTGCGCCTCAGACGCAAAACTGAAAAATAATTATTACAAAGGCATGTAAAATTGTTAATTCTAATATTATATTATATTATGTTCCTTGAATGTAGAGTCATTTAAAATACAAGTAATGTATCATTGAACTTGCAATACTAATTACGTTTTTTACTAAAGGAAACTGTATGTTAACATATTCTTCATACAAACGAGTTATCCAACTCCGGAAATCCTTAGTTTTTGAACATAACTTTGATTTATGTTCTGGCCTTAATCTGAAGACGAAATTATCACGTTTTTATTGCATTGTTTTGTTCTCATATTTTCTTGTTTTAATTGCGTTTTAGAGTATGTTTTGATTTTATAAAGGTCAGTTTTGATAAAGATAAAATTTTTAATAAAATCTTATCTATGTTTATCGATTAGCGAGCCCTTCGATTTATCTTCTCTCTCTTTTTGTTTCTCTTGTACACCTTGATTGATGAGAAGTGTTGGCCTTGGCTTCAGTTTGAGACTCTCATTCTTGAGGTCCTTCGATCATCGGCTGTGCACCAATGGACTTGCTGAAAGTCCATTAGATTGACATTGATCATGAAGCAGATACAGAAATCTGAGGCCCAGACCTAGAAGGGTTGTAGTGCCACTGATTTATTTTTATTTAAATACCTTGATACATGTGAACCTAATATTGATATATCTAACAACCACTATTATCTAAAAAGGTTCGTGTTTTAAGTTTGTTTTAAATCAATCAAGTACAATTATAAGGCTGAATTTATATTGAAGGCCAAAACTTGTAAGCTTAAGATAATGATTTATATAAAAGCATGAAGGGCTGCCTCTTCAGATATTTCTGGATGAAGTGGATGAGTAACGCATCTTTGTAACATCAATCGTTCTTAATATATTTGTGTTCCCAGATGAAACGTTATCAAAGTAAAAGTTTCTTAGAGCTTTAGGTCCTGACTGGTTGGATTTTATTCTTCCTGCCCGTTTGCCCTATTACATAAGAAAAACTTTAACATCTTTTTTTATTAAATTAATGCAAGGAAGTATCTCGAGATCAAAGTGATGAATTTGTAAATGCAAACCGCGTTGCACTTCTGATTGATATCTGTCAGGTGACAGGTGGTCAGCCATTTCGTATTCCTATTCATGAGCAAAAGCGACGCGCGCTTTGATGATTCTATTTTACGTTTTTGAAATAGTGAGTACGTGCACGTTAGTTTTACGTGCTAAACGGTGCTAAAATATATACAATAACAGAGTCTCTTCCCCTTTAATAGAGACTGTAAGTGTTATTGGAGACTTTTATGTCCTTATAGTAAATTATTTATTAGTCTTAAGTTAGGCTAGATCGATCATGATTTCTCAGTGAAGACACAATGTAATAAAAATATATCATGGGTTCAAGCCTTAGATTTCTGCATAGTTTAGATTAATGTCTGAACTTAGAAACGTGGACGTACTTAGAACTAAACGGAAGCACTGCCTTGTGCCTTGTGTGTAATGTACACAAAATGTATGAAAAAAGTGATGCCTTCGGCCTGAAAACTGATATTATACACGAATATGACTAAAAAATAATAATTAGTAAAATTCCCACTAAGAGCTTTTAAGCTTTTAAGCTTGACGCACTGTTACCTATAATAATTGTATTATATTAATATATGATTATAGGTGGATAAACCTCGTAATTCTTAAAAATTTGAGCTATTTTTTATAATCTTTTCGCGATATATCGCAATAATTTCCAAAAAATTGCGTATACTTGAACGCTCCCTTAGCTGTAGCCAGCTAATAACTATAGATAGATTCTGCTTCTATATTTTACATCTGTATTTAGCTAATATCTAGAAACCCCAAACCACCTATAAAGCCAAAGCAATATTTTTATGCAAATGATGAGCGTCTTTGACCGAATGACGTCATTCATTTTATAGTTGACGACTTAGCTGTCATTCATTTAATTTTTATTACTAACTGATATCACCGTCGATTAAGTTTTTACATCTGTATAGAAATTTGCCTTTTAATTAAAATAAATAAACCAGTGGCGCTTTAACCTTTTTAGGTGTAGGCCTCAGATTGTTTCATGATCATTTTTTAATATAATAAGCAAGTAGGTGAGCCTCTTGTGCCTGACACACATCGTCGACTTTTTGGGTCTAAGACATGTCGGTTTCCTCACGATTTTTATACTGTAACGTTCAATGTCGCTTTTGCGAATTCTGCGGTCATATATTTAAGTCGGTTAGACTCAAATAAAAACGTAATTTATTTCTTAACCTGTCCATTTAAGGCATCACTCCAAAAACGACTGCGAAGATCAATGAACTACTCGACTTAATATAAGATGAATTTCCTGCATATATAAGATTTGTCACGTTTTAGTGTATAAAAACATACATTTGCAACCTAGCAAACATATTTGCATACAATGTAGGACGTGTATTCATTTTCAAATTATGCAAAGATAATATATTGAGAATGAATTAAATATATCTTTCAACAATGTCCTTTAAATACGAGTCATACGTATTGTATCTCTGAAGGTGACAAATCGTTAACAAAAACAAAAGACGTTTGTTTTATTTGTTGGTAAATAATGGCAGCATCCTCTTGCAGTATGTTCTCCTGGTACTTTGAAAAATTGTCTATAATTTTTTGGGGTTTTTCAAATTTATTCATCAAGTTTTTCAAAGAAGCATTTTCTGAATAACTCATAATTTGCAGAATATTCTATTGAAGTGCATGTAGTTATATATGCCAGTATACATTAGGATATATAGAGCCTTCTTTCTACTGGATAAGCTTAATTGATGAAAGGAATTTTAACCATATTTTTAGATATACAAAAAATATATAAAAAATGCGTTGTGGACTGATTTATAACAAATCAGTTAAATAACTTTTAAGGCTTTCTTATTAAGTAACAGTAAAAGTGTTTTATCAGAAAATCGTGTATACATATCAAATATATATCTAATTATTTATTTTTATTTAAAAACTCATATATGACGAATAAATGCAATCCAAACGTGATAAATCAAGTTTCACTTATACTGTAGTAATTAGTTTTCAATCGAGCGTAAGATATGCGGCGGCCATCTGCAATGCATAAGATGTTAATTACAACGTCATTGATGGCGTAAATGTGCATCTATATTAATTTTAAGCATGCACTTTTAGTTTTTACTTTACACGATTCTGATAAAATTATTTTAATGTTAATAAACAGAAATGAATCGGCGTTGAGAAATGAATTGCCCGCCTGTGGCGTAGGCCCCACGTTGAGAAACACTGGTCTAGAGAAATGAAGTAATATGTAATTTATTTAAATTAATAAATATAATATTTATGTCGGTTTATGGGTGAAATTTGAAAAGAAGCCTCGCTTAACAGCCTTTTAAATGTAGCGAAATAACGACTTGTAGAAATTACGATCAGTTGTATAGTAGAACACCAAACGTAAGTTAACGTGACATAAGGCTAATTAACTAAACACGTAACTTTCATGAGCATAACTGAAACTCAAAATATCTTTATTCATGTAGGTAAACAATTACACCTATGAATTGTCAAGTTAAATTAATTGTAAATTTACATTGACTACCAGTTCGCAAGTCAAGGGCGTAGAGCAGGTAAGAAGAACTGGCAAGAAACTTTCCGCCACTCTTTTTAATCGCCAAGTATTGTCATACAAATTGTTTGAACTGGAGCAAATCAATCCCAAGGATTAGGATCATTTAAGTATTCCTCAAATTTATAAAACGCTTTATTGATTAATTTACATAGTGTATACATACATACATAGTGTCAAAGATATTTTTTTCTATTCACCAAGATCTAAGTTAAACGTTAAATGTATTTAGAATATAATGAAATACATTATACAGTTTTACAGCGATATCGTTAACCGTTTGAGTTATTGCCGTAGTTTATTTCAGATTTGAACTTTGACTCGTGAAGAACGCAACGTTCCTTACTGTATTCCTCGCTGGCTCATCATCTATTTTCATATCGTGGTCTGAAAGTTTTATGAAGGTGTCTGTATAGACGAAGAAGATACATATTCTACAGTTCGCTTCAGTAGACATTTTCTTTTGAACTAGCGAACTCTGTCGACTTCCGGTCCAATTGATTAAAAAAGAGTATTTTCCTCCCTCAAAGTCACCTTTTTTTGCCGTCGTTTGCCCATCGCAAACGAACCTACTATACTATCTTATGAAAAAGGCTTTTTATTTACACCTTTGCAAGTAATTATCTTAGTACCAGTGTCAATCGTAACGTCGTAAAACATTTTTACTTCCTTGAAACTAATTGTCTTCTTTTATCTTATTAACAAATATTTCTTCTACATCTATGAGACTTTATTCTAGTAAAAATAGCACTGTTGGCCTATTGGCTTCAGCGTCCGACTCTCATCCCTGAGGTCGTAGGTTCGATCCCCGGCTGTGCAGCAATGTACTTTCTTTCTATGTGCGCATTTAACATTCGCTCGAACGGTGAAGGATAACATCGTGAGGAAACCGGCTTGCCTTAGACCAAAAAGTCGAAGCGTGTCAGGCAGAGGAGGCTGATCACCTACTTGCCTATTAGATTAACAAACGAAAATGAAACAGATACAGAAGTCTGAGGCC